TTTAAATATAATACTCATTTTATAGTATAAATTACACTATAAAAATAGTATTATATTTAGGAGCAGAGGAGTAGCATTACTGTAATAAACTTAACACCTATCAATGTTATTAACCAATTTATAGATAACAACTCTTAAAATATAAATATAAATTTTTTAAAATTTTTATATCGTTGATCATATTAGTGTAATTAATCCATTAACATCACCATAAACTATTTTATGAGCCCAAAAAATTCGTATCATATATTTTTATTACACTATCTAATCCTAAAAATAGAAATTAGATAACTAATTTGTAAATATTAGAAGATTAGTTAAATTAATTATTTATAAAAAATATATATTTGTTTTCTTAATAAAAATGAATTCGTTAATTAACTTCTATATCTAGGATTATATTTTTGAGAAGCATAAAATTAAATTTATAGCAATTTATATTATTTATAAATTAGGGATAATATAATTTATTCTTTTTCTTTTTTTGATAAATTTTGTACATTGTTTGTCAGATATGCAGATGCCTAAATTATGTACTAGGTTCATTCATCTTAGATTTAAAAAATAATTATTCCCGCAAGAAGGGTTGCATGTTCATGTGTCAGAAAATGCTACTTCACCTGTTGCCTGTGAGTGCCTTACTTTTGGCCACACAAGTAAAAAAGGTCTGTTCCGTTGCACCAAAGTGGAAAATCCAAACTGAGTGGACCTAAATTTATCAAATTATTTTTAGAAAAATTTAAAAAAGGAAAAAAGTTGACGAATGTCAAATTATTAATACTATTTTCGATTTTAATTATAAAATCTTGTCGGTAGATTATAAATAAAATTTTATAATTAAAATTAAAAATAATATAAAATATAAAATAAAATCCCTTTTTGCATTTATTTACTCCCGTCTTTAGTATGAAATTTAATTATTAAGATGATTTTAATCATTAATATAACACTAATTCTCATATTTATTAATTTTTTAAATTATTTTTATTGACACTCTCTCAATCATAATTAAGTAGAAAAAGTAGTGAAGATATTAAAAAAATTATTATGATATTTTAAAAGATATATTATATTTTTTATAATTAACTAACTTAATTAATTTTTTTAATTTAATTAAATTAGTTAAATAAATGCAATCTATTCCCATCAATATGTCTTTTCAATTGGATGCTCTTTTATTGGGATGGGTACCTCTTTTTTGCGGGGCACAAGACCCTTTTGGTTGATTTTTATGTGGTTATCTTGTTACTATAACATGTTATCTAATTATTGCCAAATATGCTGAAGATAGGCCGCTTAACCCTAATTTTAGATAAGGTGTTATAAAAATTTTATCTAGTCTTTTAACTTTAGGCAACATTTAAGAATTATCAAATATTACCAACAAGTTGTTGGTTAAGATGATAAGCAGTCTCATTTTTACAAAGAAAAAAATATAAGTTCAAATCTCAAAAAACATAATTATGGGGATAGTTTTAACCTTAATACTTCAGTCTAATAAAAATTAATCTTAAATCCAAAGTGACTTGTGGAGATTTTGAATTTATAAAAAAAAAGAATTAAAATAATAATAATTGTCGCACAAAAATTATCATTTCACACTAATAATATTAGGATTTAAGGATTGAATTTAAGAAAATGAATAAATACTTTGTATAAAATTAGAGAACAACTGTAAATTTTTATTTTTTTTTGGTTTTTTCTATATTCAAAATATTTTTAGATGTCTAATTTTATTAAGCATATGCATGAGAATCAAATATTCTTGCATTTTGAAATTAACATGATTGCAAAGAATTCTGTTTTTTTTTAATCACTGTTTATGATTTTTATATTGTACATGGTAATATAAATTGTGTTGCTCTTCTCTTAATTTTTATCCACAATTTAAAGGATGTTTGGATAACTAAAAAATATTTTTTCACAAATTGAGATAAATTTCTCTATATATTTACTTCGGGAATATTTAGGTAACATAAAACTGCAAATCAAGATAAATTTCTCTACTTATTGGCAAAATCATGGTTTTAATTTTATCTAAACACTCTCTTCGTATACTGTAAAATTACTTATAAAGTTGTGGTTTGGTACTCATCCAAACACGCCCTTGATAGCACGTTAAATTGTGGATGAAAAGTGACAGTACGGCATGAATAGATTATATATATTATCTTAGTGCTTAAATAATATTAAAGAAAATAAATTGACATGCTAATTTTTGTTTACTCACTTTTAATTTTCTTATCCTCAAGGGCAAGGATCTTATCATCCCTATATCAAATTAAAATCAATAAAAAATACAGAAAAATATAATGAATTGTACAACTATGACTGGAGCTTATTTTGCAAACTTTATACAACATATAAATGAAAAAAATTTCTAGTTAAATTTTTAATTAATCACCCTAAACTCTCATGCCTAGATTAATGAAAATTTCATGATATTTTAATTTATGGCTTTCATATACCGTCATCAACATTTTTAATGTTTTTCCACAGCTTCTAAAAAGGATGACAAAAAAAATCAAGTTTAAGATATTCTTTAATTTTCAATTTAAATAATCTGTCATTTTCTTAGGCTTGAGCTCAATTAATGTAAAAGATCACACATGGCGCCTACCATCAATCATTGGAATTTTTCTCATCTAAATAATCTGTTCTAAACTCTTGTTTTGGGATAAAGAAATAAAATAAAATAAAAATAAAATGATCTGTTCTAAAGTTTCCTCAAGAAACAATAAGGATAAAATATTAAAGATTGTAATATTGATTTCATTTTAAAACGATACAATTTAATTTTATATTTTAACTTCTCTCATTTTATTTTGCGTACAGTATATGACAAAGAAAGTCATACGCACTTAACTTTTCTTTTCTTGTCAAAATATAAGAAGTTAGACTATTTTTTTAGTCTTAAAAAGTAATCCTTATGATCAAAATCAAGCAGAATTCATTGACACTAAGTTTGAATAATTCAAATGCCACGCACATGACCAAAAGGAAAATTTAGCTTCAAGCAAACAATTTTTTTATTGCAAGTTAGCGCTTCCGAAGGGTGGTGACTGGTGACATTAGTCACACGTTTAAGTATTATTTTATTAAAAATAATTTTACTTGAAATATTGTCAGATATTAAATATAAATATGTCTTTTTTAGTAGAGTTTAAATTTGATTCGTCATATTAGGACTAGTTCCTCCTATCAAATCCGATTGCTATTCAGTTGTTTAAGTTTAATTTAATATAGTGAATATTAAATAAACTCATGTAAAATAAAAAAAGAGAGAGAGGAGAGAGAAGAAATTTTTTTTTTTTAAAAAAGAGGAAGAGCAAGACTGATCAATTAAACATTTTTTTAAAAATTTTATAGCATAGCTTTTAAATAATTCTGATTCCATGTAATACTGTGGTTTGTTTTCAAAGTGTATAGTTTACTTTGTTGAATTCAATGACACTTGTGGCAGCGACACTTTCGAATAATTTGCCATTATTAAACTCATCAATATGCACATGCGAGCTATAATTCTTTATATATTATTAGTGATAGTGATACATATAAAGATAAGGAAGCACTTAATATATTATAATCTTAAATCCACTCATCTCACATATTATAATATTTTTCTATGTTATAATTAAATGGCACTAATTTAGAATGCCATTATGTATTAAACGCCACGAAAGGGACATCTTTGAATAAAAATGATCAGTGCATATTAATAAAAGTTTGACCCGGTAATTAACAAAAAGGTTGATCCAATATGCAATAAAAAAGGCATATGTTCAAGTTTAGGCATATATTCTAATGGTAAATACCTATTATTCTACTTGTAAATTTTTATTACTACCTCCGCTCCTAATTATAAGAGCCAGTTGACTAATTTGAGGAGATTAAAAAAGTAAGTTGAGTTAGTTATTTGTCCCAAATAGATGTTGTCTTTCCTAAAATATCTTTGCTAATCAAGTAATGACTAGAACTATCATTATTAGAAGGGTACTTTGAAAAAAAATGTATATATATGAGAGATAAAGTGGATTGGAGTCTTATATTTAGGATCAAAATAAAAGTTAAACATGGTCTTATATTAAGGACCTATTATTCTACTTGTAAATTTTTATTTTTGAGTAATGAATAGTGTTAAATATCTTTTTAATTGTAAATTTACATTATGTGAGCAGTAAATACTCATAATTTGAGTGATAATCCCAGATGACTCTATGGGTTTATTTAGATTGACTTATAAATAGCTTTTTAAATATGATTTACGAAATACGAGGTAAGTATGTGAAAAAATTTGTCTCAACTTACATGAACTTATTTAAAAATCTGTTTTGAAAGAACTCGAATTGGGAGAATCTCATGGTAAAAAAAGGAAAAGAATGGAACAGAGACACGTGGGGCGGGGGAAGGAAACTAACCCTGATATGAAGAGAGAAAATTGCAGCCGCCTTGGGCAATAAGAGAGAAAGAAGAAGGGGGCCATCATTTTCCATGGCCTCTCATGGACAAGCCACTTTCATTTCAACAAAGTTAGAGAGGAAAAGACATTAAAAAAGCTTGCTGGATCATTGACCAGAGACTTTTGTAAAAGACAAAGACCAGTCCCTCCAGAAAAAGACCCCACCACCCCCAAACACTAACTAGTTTTCAACTTCATCACGCAATTGAACAGCTCTTCACTTGGCATCTCCCATTCCTCCATCTGTTTCTGGGGTCCATTTCACATGCCTAACGATAAGCTCAACCAAAAAAAAAAAAGGGTGGAAGCATTTCATATCAGGACAAACTCTTCTTCAACCTATTTTTCCTACCCAAAAATTTCTCAAGTAAAATCTCAGATTTAAGTCTTGCATATGAGGGGGGGGAAAAAAAAAGAGGCTATGTTGGAGAACAAGTATATTTTATTTTAAGACCTGATAATACTTGAATATGAAACTATCGGTGGTATGGAATAATATCAGATCGTTGTCAAAAGAAAAAGGATAGAGTTCATTGAATCATGTGTCACAAAACACTGTTCATAATCTTCACATTCAAACAAGTGAATCCACCAAATAGTAGAGTCCACCAATGAGTCATTTACAAGCTTTCAAATAATGAAGAACGTCTTGTAGCATAACGGAGCCCACTAAGTGATAGTTTGACAATAACAGATAGTTCAGGCTCACAGGATTTAACTTGCACAAAAATATGCTTTGGTAGCAGGCAGATATTCAGGCCATGACTATGGTGGAACTGAAAATTAGAGAGACTATAAACTTATTTATATCACATGCATACATAAAATATTACTGACAACAGGGCTACACTGATAAAACACACAAAATATAGGGTTACAAAATAGGAGATTCCATTGTTTATTAACCCCATATACCAGACCTGCCAAGCACAGAACAATAATATCTAGACCTACAAGGACTCTTTTTCTTCTTTTTTTTGGGGCCAAAACCTACATGGATTACATGTGAAGAAAAATGCAGTGAACTACCTTTTCTTAGTCACGGGAACTTCACATGATTTAAAGGAAAAATAGAAGAGTCCCATGATACATGAGTTCTTTCAAAGTCACTTTCACTGAGGATACCATATTGACGATAAATCTGGCTGTTCCTGAAGAGATTCCATGCCTCCTACGCTTGCTTGCATATCATCCTTAAAATCAAAAGATGCCAAATCACAGGGGGACCCAAACATTAAATTGAAATTGGAGTTATTACTGCTGTTGCTGATATGATTGTTGGCTTCAAATGGAGAGTTCATGGCCTTGAACCGGTCAAAATAACCTTCCTTGCGAGCAAACATCTGCTGATTATTGGACATGTTGGAGTCTTCAAAGAAGTTCCCATCCATAACAACTCCCTGATTAGGGAAGAAATTGTTTTGTTGATGCTGAACGTGGGATTGGGGAAGGTTCTGGTTTTCCACAGTTACACGGCTACCAGAACTTATGTTCTTGCTTCCTTGAACATTCGCATCATAGACTGACATAAGGTCACTAATCATCTTCTGGCCATCTTCAGGGACGCCAAGCCCTGATAGATTTAGTGAAGAGGCAGTGAAATTAACAGACTGAGCAGTAGTCTTGGGTTGGGCAAAAGATTGAGGGAAGATAACTGGCTTCACCTCATTAACATGGAAATTTGACCCACCAAAATCTGAGGAAGTGCCTCGACATGGGCAATTCAATTGATGATTGTCCCGAGATGTCCTATCAGCGAAAGCAAGGCGAACATCATTGTAAGGGCATTGAGGGTGCTCACATGTGTAGACTTTATGATTGATCATCATGTTAAAGTCATTGGGAGCCTTCCTCTTCCCAAGGAAATCCAAGTTTGTAACAAGCTCTCCCTTGATGGGAAAAGAAGGTTGCTGAACTGGCAGTCTTCCCCTCATTCTATCCATCCCAAGATTGGATGGATTAAGATTTTCAGGCTTCTGCTCCTCCACATCAAAATTTGGCTCTTCCTCGGCTCCTTCAACATCATACTCACTGCAATCATTGATTACCAAAGATCCACTACCTCCAGCTGAGGATAATGGAGGGCAATAATCAGGGTATAGTTCTCTTGCCAAAGCCTCCTCCTGGTTGATGATGGCAAGCCAGGTCGCGCTTTCCTTGGCTGTCATTTTATCTTGAAGGCATTTGGACTGCCTGACTAGCCTGCGAATCTTGGCAATATCAGGAGACATGTGCTTTATGACAGCAGTTAAAACACCTACTTTCCATGCCTTCTTGAGATCATGTGGCTTCTTGTATGGTGGAGGGCCTTGATCTTTAGGTAAACCGATCTGTGGCCACCAATCTTCATTCCCACTGGGCCACCATGGTGGAGGAACTCCCTTCTCCAAAGGAAACCGTCTCTGAGGCGGATCGCAGTGCTGCATCAGCGCTGACAAGAGAGAACCCAGGGTTGTGTCCTGAAGCTCTTGCAGAGTGTGTGGAGTTGGACCAAGAGAACTGCATCCATCATTCTTGCCTGGAACTGCATTATCAGCCTGATATTTGGCGATGGCAGCCGGGCCATTCCTATCAAATCTGACTTTATCCTTCCACCATTCGCGGAGATTGTCAGATGCCCCAGTCACAGGTTTTCCCTTCTCTGGAATTATCCCATAAACAAATCCTTGAGCCTTGCAAACCTCCATCATCTTTAGCATGTACTTCAAGATGCCATCTTGAGCCCTTGACATCTTCTTCCTCCTTGCCTGTTCTTGGGACTGCCTTTGCTTCACTGCATCTATTCCATCCCTAGATTTGTTTTGTTCCTTCAGCCGTTTCAGGCGCATCTTGTCCCTCCACATCCTCCTCTCGAGCTCATCCACATCGATTTCCTCATCACTGTAATCATCTTCAACAGCCACCTCTGGTTCAGTCTGCCGGGTGACAACATCTCCTTCCCCAGTGGGAGCAGAATACATATCCGAATCACCACAAAACCCCATCTCTTCAAACATCATCATCTTTCCCTTCTTTTATACACAGATCAGATTCCACAATACCTCAACCTTGAATAGCTTTACACCTGTCCAAAGTCATGAAGCAAAGATCATATCATTAATTAATCACAGTAAAACCAAACAAATCAAATACTCTCCATGTGAATAGTGTTTTAGCCGTAGGATTTTCATCAATAGACTCTTCTTTAATTTCTAACACGGGAATCTTAGATATTGAGTAAAATTTCCTGATCACCAAAAAAATAATATTAACAGGACTACGTCTAAATTCTTTTCACTTCGAACACACATTAACCAAGCAATCAGGGCTTAATTGATTGCACAGATCTAAACCCTCCACATGTAAACCATGAGAACAAAAGCGTCCACAGTCACTCATATGGTGATTTAAGGAAAGGAAACTCAAATTTCAGATCGATATTCTCTCAAACAATCATCACAAGAAAGCAGCCAAGAGAGGAATCAAAGCTTCATCAAGAATATAAAAGGATAGAAGCAAAACTTTCCAGGAAACTTTCCAAGCAGGCTTTCAAAACAGGATCTAAGACCAACTCAATCACTCAGACAACCAACAAGCGAGTTAAAAAAGCGATTTAGATCATAAATATAGCAAAAGATAAACTAACCCATTATAAAGACTCGTGCAGATCCACCAGGCAACAGAATCAGCTTCAATTCAAAAACCATAAACCTTAAAAGAACTCCACAGATCGGATTGAACAATCACAGGCTAACACGAAAGAAACAACACAACAAACAGATAAAAAGCAGACAAGCAAAAGCAGGCAAGGGAATCTCACCAGAAGATCCCAAAAAAACTGGGACTTTCTCCTCTTCTGCAGTCAGAAAAAGTCAACCGTAGTAGAAGAACAAGAAAAAAGGAAGAAGGCGGGTTTCTGAGAATTGCTCTTCTTCAGAAGAAGGAAGATGCGAAAAGAGGGGGGGGGGGGGGGAGAGAAAAGGAAGAGAGAAGTGAGGATGATGCTGGTTTTATTGCTTTATAAGTGGGAGGTGGCCCTCTGGCTCTGCTTGATGAACATGAGAGAGAAAGTGGAGGGTGGGGGCATTGGTGGGGTAAACCCAAATTTGAGGAATGTGAAAAATGGTGGGATATTTATATATCAATCAATCAATCCATTCATTCACGTTCATGTTAGGTTCTTATCCATCTCCTGCCTTAGGGACGTACCCATTCGTTTCTGCATTCATTGCTGTGAAATTTATTGTACGCGTTCCATTCCAGTTTTGTAAAAACACGCGATTTTGTGTTTCAACCTGAAAAAGAATACGCGACTTTCTTTTTTAACGAACTGCCAGTAGTATGTGTATATACATCTCTAATCCTTACTATAAAACTTATTTAATTAATTTCATTAGATTAAAATAGTTAGGTATATAAGTTAATTATAAAAAATATGATATGTTTGTCCTAAAACACCATAATCATCTTTCTTAATAGCCTTCTACCTCTTCTACTTGATTATGGTTGAGGGAGTATCCATAGGGGTAATTTAGAGAAAATTGATGAATATAATAAATAAATCTTATATTTAAGATCAAAATAAACTCAATAATTAGGTCTTATATTAAGAACCAGAAGAGTATATGATAAGAAATAAAAGATATTTTTTAATAGACAAAAATGCATTTTTAATTCTTTAAATTTACACAAGCTTTCATTTCAATATATTTCTTATAAAATATCTTTTCAGTTTACTAACTCAAAAACTGTTAACACACAAAACTTATACAAGGTTTCATTAGAATATTGACATAATAACTTTAATTTTAAAAATAACAATACATAATAACTTTAATTTTAAAAATAATAATACTATTTGGCACAAAAAAAATCATTCGAGACTTAGAGACTACTCATGTTAGGATTAACGAACTGAAAAATATTTTTAAAAAAATATTAAAGGATCAAACTATAAAATTTTATAAAATTAAAGGTGCAGACGTGCAATTGTGTCTTCTTAATTTTATAAGTTTCCTTTTTTCCTTTTGGTTTTTTTAATCTTTTTCAGTATATAAAAACGGATTTAAAAATTTAGAAATTTACATTTGTTCCTTGAACTTTGGTTAAATACTTTCCTAATACTATGGACTTTTTTTTTACCCTGACGAGTTTCTTTCACTCATAGTGATAAAATGAAGAAAAAATCACAAAAAAATCTTAAAACTGAAAAATTACATACAGGGACGAGTTCACAAAAATTGCTCTTATTTATTTATCAATTATTGTCAAAACTAATACTAATATTATAACAGATTCCTATTTGTAATTTTTCTATTTTTAAGATCTTTTTTTTGTGATTTTCCCTAAAATCAAGTCATCAATTGGTACGTTATATTAAAATAAAATATATGAGCATTACCATTTTATTATTCTTTTATCGTTTATTAACTTACTAATTATCCTTAATTTCTTATCACCATTGTATCATCATGACTTTAAGACTTTGTAATTCAATTTCTAGACTTTAACTCGTTATAACTTATTTTATATAATTTTGATTCGTTGTTTAAATCAATTTAGTCTCTGTAGTTTAAAGTTTTAGTTCCTAAACTTCATGAAATATATAATTTTACTTTTTGATATATGGGAAATTATTTTTTACATGGTTAAACTATAATAATTGAGTTGCATTGAGTTGAAAAAAGTTTAGGAATTATGTTATAGACAGGTTAAAACTATAAGAATCAAATGATTAATTTTTTCTTATAACCAAAAAAAAAAAAAGTAGAGTACGACATTGCTGTTAATTAGTTTAACTTACACCACCTCTGATTTTTAATATGAGAATTAGTTTGACATTTAATTTGATCATAAATATAAAATTTTAATCCACTTTATCTTTTATATTATCTATTTTTTTCAAGGTAGTCATTGTAGTAGTTGCACATATTAAATGTTTCATCAAATGGTAGTTTTAGATAATACGTATTATTAGCAATGATAGTTTAAAAAGACAACACCTATTTATTATAAAAATTAATACAACTAATTTTTTAATCTACTTACATTAGTCAAGTAACTCTTATATTAAGGATTGGAGTCAGTAGTAATTATAAATAGCATTTAGGTTAAAGTGCAAATGTTTTATATGAATTTTTAAAAAATATAAATATGGATAATTCTTTTCCAAAAATAGTGTTGACTTAAGTCAAGCATTCCCTTCATAGTGTCAACCCAAAAGCATGAAATCTCTTAACCTTTAATTCCCCTAAAAAGATGTGGATGGATTAGATTTGCCACGACTCATTAAGATTTGTCTTTCCAAAATGTGATTTGTGTTCTTATCAATTAGACTTGCTTATATTTTTTATAATTATATTTTTAAAACATTAATTTGTTAGTCCTTGTAACATCAATTCAGATCTCTATAGTTTTTTAATTGTTATTATGTTCTTACAATTTTTTAATTATAGGCATTAATATTTATACTTATAATCCGTTAATTATGACAAGCGTAGATGTTGACTGTCCAATATATAAGATTGTAAGTTGACATGAAATATAAAATAAGAAAGAATTTTTTTTAAAATAAAATGACGAAATAAAATATATTTATTATCAACATTAAAAAATTATTATGCTCATAATTTTTTTTACATCTATATATAATCTGTAATATGGTTTCTGACCCAAAAAAGAAAATCTGTAATATGGTTGCCTTAATTTTATTTAAATTGGGGCAAAATCAATCCAGGCGTCTATTGAGTGAAAGCCATGTTATTAGCTACTAACTTTATTTTCATTGCAAATTAATTAATTATGAGTATAAAAACTAGATAGAATCCCACAAAAAGAAGTTTAAAATTAGTAAATCCCAAATAAAAAATTTGTAGAAAATATTTTGTTATTTGCAAGTTTGGCATTACTAAGACCTACTAAAGTGTCGTTATTAAACTTAATTAGGGATTTAGTAACTTTAAACTTTTTTGTGGATTCTTCCTTAAAAACTAATGCCAATATTTGAGAACATTGTAAAGACCCAATAAAAATTGAAAAAAAACTACAAAAATATTATTAAAAATGAGATAGAGTTGCATATTAATTTTTTCTTGTATTTAATGTTCATGGTTTTAGGCCAGAGACCCCTCCTTATTAATTTTTATAAATACTTTGGTAAGCCACTAAGAATGTCTTCTACAATTAATAAAGAATAATTAATCTTTTATTTAATATTGAAAACAAAGGACAGACATCTTCCAATCATATTGCTCGCACACAAAAATTGGAATTGAACTCCCAAATACAGGTTTAATAAACAAGATCCTACAATTTATTTAAATAAAATTCACAATTACTAGTTAAATTTGAGTGCATCCGTGTACGTAATCAATGTTTAACAAAACTTATGATTTACTCCTCCAGTATTCAATATAGAACCTAATTGTTGAATTAATTTTGGTCATAAATATAAAACATATTTTTCATATTTATCAATTTTTTCTAAATTATCCTTATAGAGATACTCCCTCAACCGTAATTAAATAGAAGAGGGAGGAGGATATTAAGGAAGATAATTATGGTATTTTAGAAAAAGTATGTTATATCTTTTATAATTAACTAAGGGTTAAGGTGCGTCCAGCACCTCGAGCTATTTACTCAGGTGCGTCCAGCACCTCGAGCTATTTATTCAGGTGCGTCCAGTGGCCTAAAATAATTTTGGGTGCATCCAGTGTCCTAAACTAATTAAAATGGTGCATCTATATCTCAGGCTAACAGAAATGTCATGTTTAACCGTTACTTTCCTGACTCAGTTTAAAGTTGACCTCATATATTCTAAATGGTAGACATATGGACATTTGATGTGTATTATTCTTACTCAAAATTGAATTTATTTCCGTCCTCTTCTTCTAAATAAATTGACTTTTGAGTGAGAATAATACATATCGGGTGCCCATGTGTCTACCATGTAGAATATCTGGAGTCAACATTAAGCTGAGTCAAGAAAGTAATGGTTAAACATAACATTTCTGTTAGCCTGAGATATGGACGCACCATTTTAATTAGTTTAGGACACTAGGTGCACCCAAAATTACTTTAGGCCACTGGACGCACCTGGGTAAATAATTCAGGGTGCTGGGCGCACCTTAACCCATTAACTAATTTATCTAACTTTTTAATCTAATTAAATTAGTTAAATAGATTTTATATTAAAAAACGTAAGAGTATTTTGTTTTATTACATTCTCAGTTGGCATCACAGAACGCCTAATCATAGATCCACCGGACACGTCTCTTCCTCTGATTCCACTCTTCTATGGTAGTTTCTGAACACTTCTATTCTCATTAACTTTTAATTATAAAATGCGTTTATTTAAGTGCCTTTCTCTTCACATTTCTATTCCATCTTTTGCATTCTTATAGTTGAGGGTGCTTTATATTAATTCTCAATTTCTCATGATGTACTGTTTAATTTGGACCAAATCATAGACCTTATTAACATCAATTTGAACAGAATACCCGATGTTCTTTCTGAGCCTAAGACGATGTCATTTTGAGCTTAAAAGAATGGTTCGTTGTATTTATGATTTAGTAATTTTATCAGATTATATCTGATTTATATGCTTTATTAACTTGTAAATTACTATTACATTTTTATAGTTATATATAATATTTTTGCATTTTTTGTAAAATCATACTCCTCCAGTCTTTAATAATTGTTGAGTTGGTTTTGGTTCTAAATATAAGATCCATTTCTCATATTTATCAATTTTTTCTAAATTATTCCTATGGACACCCCTTCAACCATAATCAAGTACAAGAGGGAGAATGAGTATTAAGAAAGATGATTATGGCACTTTAGGAAAAATGTATCACATTTATTATAATTAACTAACTTACCTAACTTTCTTAATCTAATTAAATCAGTTAAATAGGTCTTATATTAAGGACTGGAGGAGTATTATTTTGATTATGATTGAGCTAACTTTGATTTAACCAAGATTATGTATCACTTACCTTTAAATCACTATTTCGACCAATGTAATGATATTTTCATAAACTTGATCCATGCGTGCTAGCTAATTTAAACATACTAATAAAATTAGTTAAAGTTAAAAACATTAAATTTGGATTTCCAACATGACCTTCATTAATTACACTATTTTTTTTCAATTACACTAAATTCTAGCATCATATCAATTTTTATTCTCTCATTAACCTCATTAAATATGGGTATATATGGAAAAAAATATACTCCTCTGATCCTATTTATAAGTTACTTTTAACATACGTTACACATACCAATAAAAACTTTAAACTTTATTTACTCTCATTTAAAATTTAATAAATTTTTAATTTTATCCATATTTAATGTATATTATATCTCATGTAAACACAATAATAAATAAAGGATAAAAGTATGTATCCATACAAATTTTTTTTCACTACCCTATAAATATAACTAAAAAAATATTTTCTGTACCATATAAATAAAACCAGAGTAGTATTTAATAGCCACTAGACTATCAAAAGTTCTTATAAAAAAATAAAAATTTCTTTAAAAATGAATACTATAATAAGGATATAAGGGAGTGTCAGATATAGAGCAACGCCTAAGATTTAGATTTAATGTTTTTATTGAACGAAAATCTTGTTTTAATTTTTTCCCCCAAGAACCAAGATCTGGTTTTAAATTTTTATCTATATGCATAACACGTAATAAAATCATAATAAACGCAAAAGATTTTAGGGTCAGATTAGGGCGTACTAATAAATAGGAGTACTAGAGAATTGCTTGGTACAATAAAATTTTGTAACGGTACGGACCTCAGGGAAACAGTGCCGTACTACAATCTAAGAACTGAAGAACAAGATCCGTTATCAATTAACCGGTACATCTGTACGTGCATGTACGTGAATCTCTCAAGAGATCCAGGTCAAAAAAAAAAAAAGAATTTCTTAAGAGAAATTTGTCAATATTTTGAAAATTTTAAAAATATTCTTGAATTAATTAGTGAAACTTAATAAAAAGTTGTATAATTTACCATTTATTGCATGAAAATTATCCACAAGTTTGAAAAATATAATGTATCTTTGTGCAATATAAGCAAATTATTTTGCTCGCTGTGATTATATAAACCAACAACATAACATAAATTAAAAAGTAAAATAATGTGTTAATATTTAAGTATGAAATTTGTAATCTCTGAGGGTAAAAATTCTTGTAGTCAATAATTATTTACAATTTAAACCAAATTCAAAACAAATTACAATAAATAATTTTAAATAGCAAAACAAATTGAGAATATGATTTGAAAAATTAAAAAAAAAAGCATGCATTGAATTAATTTTTTGATTACCTAATTGATTTGAACAACATTCATGTAAAATAGGGATTTTTTAGTTCAAAATACAAAAATTAATGCCAAACTAACGATTGGGTATATCAAAATTAAATCTTAAAATTAGAGGGGATCTCTTTGCTGTATAAATTTTAATTTTAAATGCCTAGATAGGTTTTAAAAATAGAAAGGAGATTTTTACAATTAAGATAAAATAAAGTGCATGGAAGCATATTTTACTCTTGTTTACATATACACACTAACAACACGCATATTATGCAATAAAACCACAGTACATGCACAAGATTTTAGGTTCAGATTTGTCTAATAAATAGTATTTAAGAAGTAACTTGATTTATTGTTTGTAATTAAAGTTTTGAAACGTTGCGTACCTGAAGTGACATAGTGCGACCCAAGACATAAGAAATGTCTTAATAAATTAGTGCATGAACTAATTAATTTGAACATGAACCTCTTGAGATTTATAAAAATCTGTCTAAAAATATCCACTAAGACGTAATGGTTTTTTCGAGCTTGAGATTGTGAATTCAAATGCTGTTATTGCATGTTGATGTAAAAGAGAAAGTAAAAAAGAATAAGGTAATAACAAAGTTTTTTTTTTGGTGAAAAAATACTTTTTCTGCTACGTATGGCAGTATAAGTATCATCTTATTAGAAGTAATCTTATTCGAAATATTACTGAGTATTAAATATAGACACCTGAGAATGAGAATGTGAACATTGGTTTGTCTGATTGGTTAGTACAGAATATTGTTGGGTGTTGAGTTATATGACTTTTAAAAGTAGGCATGAGTTCATTGGCCTGGGCTTATGTTGTTTGTTTTTTTTTTTTGGGCCAGCAAACTGAGTATGATATTAACAGCCGGCAACATTGCATGTGATAAGGTGAGGAATGCTCTTATTCAAATAAAGAAAAACCATATTAAAAATACGTATCTTTTCTTTTAATTATTAATTTGGTACTTATATTTTTTTTCTTAATTAAATAATTTAATATTTCTCTTTTAGGTTAAATTTTTTTTAATTAAATAATTTAATATTGCTCTTTCAGCAGCAGTAACTCTTGTAACTTTACTCTATTAGTATTGCTAGTCTCTGTGCAAAAGTTAACAAAGCAAAATTAAAGATTTAATTAAAAAAAAACACATCGTACACTCCGTTTCAATTTTCCTGCCATGATGTTTGAAAGCCAATTCTTTGGACAAAATTTGTATTGATGGCACCGTAACACTATTGCAGTGTAGTCTATGGATGAGTTCAATCTAATCCTAGAAATATTACGTTCAGCATTCAAGGCTATAAACAAAGCACAAATGGCAAATAAATTGCACAGAATCCAAGTACAAAAAAGAGAAAGAAAGTGCGCATAGCCAAATGTTATTGCAAAATGCCTTGGATCCAAAATGCTTATTTCAGGTCAAGGATAGCGCATACTTTTAGGCTCTAAAAATTCTTATAAATATACTTACAAATCGTCTACTAATAAAGTCTTCACATAAAAAATAATAGTACAATTAGTGAGGGGCTAGTCCCTCACAACGTGGCGAATCAAGGTTCCAATCCTCGCTGGGAGAGGTGTTTATATTCAGTGCCCGACAGTACTTCGAATATGATTGTTTTCAATAGGAGAATACCTATATTTTAGTAAAAAAAAAAAATAACAGTACACTTCTTTCAGCAATTATCCCCTAAGTCGTTTCCTTATTTTTGTACATATTTTTCATGCGACAATGTGGCTTTGACCCACAAATGCGTCGGCTAGGGAGCGACATGGGAGCGACACTTTCCCAATCTCATTCTTGTGTGGGCTTTGCTGGATCCATTGGTCCATTACTAAGCCCAATGACCTGTCAAAGTTTGTAAGTATGCCATAAACCCTTAAATTGGGCTTAAAACCCATATCTTTGCACAAAAAACGCAGGAAAAACGAACTCACAGAAGCTGGGCAGCATGTATGGAGAAAATATTATTGGAATAAGTGAATGTTATCTCGAAAGATTAGTCTCTCGCGATGATTTAGGTGGAAACATACTCTGGGCAACTGCAAAAACACCAATAAAATGGGTTCTCAGTTCATTTTATGAGATGAACTGCAGTCAAGACGATGATTCTGTTGATTTTGATGATGACTTTATAAAATTTGAGACTACAAGCCAATTTCTTCATTTGAGTGTTCCCAAACCTCCTGGGTTCTACGGAGGGGAAGAAGATCCCTCTTAGTTAAAAGGGTAATTATTCCGAAATATAATATACATATTTAATGTAACACACTTTTCTCTCGATTGTTTAAAGATTGGGTTTTGCTTGGTCAGTTCACACACAAACATTATCTTCTCCATCAGATCATCGATTGCTTCGACGAATGTTTTGAGGAAAGGAAAAATTGTAGGAGCTACCAATACCCACCCCGGAGCTCATCCTCTAGCGGCGGTGTACCTGCCGGAGATGTTCACCTTCGTTTCTCCATCGTCGTCGCCTTCCTTAGTTGATCATAACGTGTCTCTTCGTTTTGACGCTGCAGACTGTACAAAGATGAGGAAAAGACAATCGCAAAACCAATTTACAATAATAAACATTATTTAGCGGAGAGTAAAGAAAGAATAAATCGATTACATCTTTTTGGGTAGAAAATGGATGACGGAGGAGAAGGTAAACTTGCATTGTGTGAGTGATAATTATTTACTGTATTTAGTTATCAACTTGTGTTATGTGAATGCTTGGTGCTCGTACTTTTATTAGTCAACATTCATTGTGTGAATAGTATATTTGAGAATATATGGCCCTTTACTATAATTCTTCTTTTAAATAAATTCAAAATTCAAAATAAGTAAAACTTTTGTAAGGTGTGCTATGCCAAAATTTCTAGTAAGTTGCGCAATTAAAGAATATCACACCAGTGAAGAAAATAAGAAAACTCCAACAAGGAGGGGGAAAAAAGAGAAAAGAACAGTCTAAAGCCTAAAATAGTGTACCTTAGAGCAGCAAGTGTGGTTTGGGAGAAAATGGGGCAATCCTCAACAGTAAGATATTTCAACTTTGGAAACATGTTATCATAGAAGCCTTCCTCATGGATTTCAGGTTCGCAGTTGAAAAGTCCCTTTAGTTTAGAGCAATCTTTAATCTTCAGATGTTTCAACTGTGGAAGATTTTCAGTGGAGAGGAAGAGCCATTTCAACTTTCTGCATCTAATGACTCTAAGATCTCGAAGTTGTGGGAAGCAGAAGGAATAATGAGAGGAATACGCGTTTGGAAAGTGATGCTCTTCAGATGACATCATCTCTTCCAACTCTTCACATTCTTCAATCTCTAGACGCTCCAAACATGGTAGGCTTCTGATCACAGTGCTAGGGAAGATGCACTTCAATTTTCTACATTTACTCACATAAAAGTCCTTAAGATTTTGGAACATGATGAAACTGGGACCCTCCCATATGGACATGAGGTCCATTGAATCCTTCAAAGACAAGTGCTCCACTCCTGAGATCAACATCATCGCTTTTTCTTCATTTACAAACAATTGTTCTTTTGCATCTAATGAAGTTTGAACATTTGAATCTTCTGTAGAATCCTGCCGCAACTGCAATTTCAATTTAAAAAAAAAGATAAAAAATTGGTTACATTGTAAGCATCTCGAGCAAACTCTTTGCTGATATGCAAATGTTTATATATCAATTTTAGAGACCAAAAAAATCAATTTATAATTGATTTAATTTACTGTAAAATATCTTTTCATTAAAATAGTTTGAGTCACTCACACACAATTATTCTTTCATCAGATTTTCTTTTTGGTGGAATTTCATAGTCAAAGTTTTAATATGTTTGTACATGACAAATTTAAAAAGAATGTCATTAATAAATATTCAAAATACATGAAATGAAGTCTCGCACATACACACACACGAACGCCATACTTTCATCTGTTGTGATCCAAAATTGAAGGAAAATCTAGTTGTGTATACGCATCAAGTATTGTTTTTATTCTTCTTGCATCTCTTTGTAATTTATAAGTTTTCTATTTAATTTATAAATTATAAATGATGTATATGATTCTAATCCAGATATTATTCCATCTATTTTTGAAGACGCTAATCAAACAAAATATAGAATAATCACTCATACCGTTATTGTTGTCAATTGTTGAAGAATCGATCCGAAACTTGAATCTACAAATCTGGGGCAGTTGCAAATGCTGATGTGGCTTAGCTGCACCTGAAACTGCAACCCTTGGAAAACACTCACCAAATTTGGCAAATTTATTAGTGTTATCATCGTCAAGCTTGAAAGCACAATTGTCTCACGATAGTTGGCATCATCTTCTCTACTATGCCCAAAAATTACCTTTAATTCATCAGCCCCATTTATCCACAAAAAGTTTAGTTGGGGAAGAATAATAGCCGCGGACGTAGAGAAGAGTCTTTTGAGCTTGTTGCACCTCCCGACCCTCAACTCTTTTAGTTCTGGGAAGCAAACTTGACCATTGGACATGATCTTATGTTCCTCATTTTCTGCAATTATTTCCTCCAATTTCTCACAATCAAATAAGGTTAGGGAAGTTAATCTGGGAAGGCTGTTGTGGACAATAGTGCTCATTGAGAATACAAACTTTAACTTTTCACAGCGAGTTACTTTTAAGGAATGAACATGTTGGAAGCTCAAAACTTGTGTGGGAACAAGACCTCCTGGCATTTGTTGTTCTTCTGAGTCGCTTGTTTCTTCTTGCTCATCATCACCAATAATGCGCCAGCGTGCAATTCTAGGACTTTGAACATCAAGCTCTCCAGCATTTAAAACAGAAAGTGGAAGATTATTGAGAGCCTCTTATTATTTAATTGGCTGTATTTCAACACATACTCCTTTACAAGTCCCTGCATGTAACAGAAAGGAGTGAAAGGCGGGGGAATAAAATATTATAAGTTCCTTGGAAAGATTATGAAAAGAAAGAGATTGCAATACATTCAACATTTACTCCTATTTGTTTAAGTTGAGAGATGCAGTTCATTCATATGTATGTAGGAATGCGTGATGTCTTAGTCACTTGTTTTGTCTACATTTAATCATGCTAGAATCATGTTAAAACCAGAAATATATAATGCTCTGCATTGCTGAAATCCTTCTTCTCTTCAAGTTCCATGGTTTGAACCATCATTGATTGCCACATAACCTGCTATAAGAAAAATTTATATCCTATTTGTATCCGAATAGTTTCTTTGGTTTGTTCCATGAAATGTAGAATGACTTGTTTACGAAGCGGCTTTTTACATGTAGATATCTCGTGCATATGCATGTGAAAGGAATTAACGTATTAGACCGGAGTTCATGAGCTTAAATGAACAAAACATTAAAAAAAAAAATAGAAGCATTAAACATTCAGCAAGCATGAATTTAATTAATATTGCAAAATAAAACATAGACAAGATTTGCAGTATGGAGAAACACAAATGCAGAATATTAGTTACCTCTTTCGTGTAATCAATAGTTGCACCCATAATTGGCATAAGTCTTGGGCAATCATGAACTTGAACTCTGCAAAGCTCCCCTGTCAGCAACTTAAACCCTTGGCATACATTAGCGAGTCTAGGCAAGTTCTTAAGTTCCATATCTCTCATGTTAGGGAATGTAATCTCCTTGTCACTGTCAATCTCATGCTCTTCATTGTTTGAGCAGTTGAAAATTTCTTCCATTTGCGAACAATAGGATATGGTTAGATTGCTTAGCTGCGGAAGCACTGAAGTAATAGAAGCACTGATCATGAAAGATAAAATGAATTTCAGTTTGTTGCACTTGGAGACTTTCAAACTCTTCAATTTCAGCAGACAAGATTGAGTAATGGATAGATTCTTCTGAGTCTCTTCATTTCCTGCAAAAATTGCATCTAACTCCTCACAGCAAGATATGGTTGCAGATGTTAACTCTGGAAGACTTTGATAGATATGATCAGAAAAGACAAATTTCAATCTTGCACATTTCTTCAAAGTTAAATTTCGGAGGTACTGAAGTGTTGGAATTTGCTCTTGTACCCCGGTTTGACGGTGGAAAATGGACTCTACTCCATAATTATCTAGTTCAATCCATTCCATAGCTGCCAATTCATGGCACTTAAGTTCCTGCAATCCCTTTGTGAAAAGGAAAAAGCAGAAGTAAAGACAACGAAAACCATTGACATTTTTTTTTTGGCTAAGAATAAGATAAATTGGGATTAATTAAAATTCTACCCACACACACATTATTCTTACGTAGACTTAGTCTATCAATTTTTTTTGATAAATTAAACAAATAAAGATCAGCCATTTGAATATATAAGAAATGGAGTTCACAATAAAGTCAAGGAAAAATTACAATGAGGGCCCTATAAGAGTCCATATTTATTGGTGGCTGTAAAAAATGATAAATAAATTGAATCACCAAAAGACAAAACAACTAAATATAATTACTGGATTATTCGTGTATTGAAAAATTTTGTAACGACGACAAATCGTGGCACAAAAAATGTCAACAGAGAATGTAAGCCAAGAGGCAGAGCCCAGCTTCTATTAAGGTGTTTTAAGAGAAAAAGATATTAGGAATTTTTTTATCAGAATGCTAGGAACTGTTTTATATAAAAAACTTTCCAATTTTTCAAGCTTTTTTTGTTTTGTTTTGCAAATCTAATTGAAGTATGGAAGAGAAAATGCGTACCATATTTGGACAATCCGTCCATTCTATTCTCTTTATTGATGGGTACCTGGAACGATACCTCTTTGAGCAAATTCCAACAATATTTGGAAGATTTTTCAGTTTGATATATTTCAATAGGGGAAGCACTATTTGAGTCACATCTTGATCATGCATAATTGGTTGTTCTTCACCAGCATTTTCACCAAACACAAATTTCATTTGAGGAGCATTCATTATGGATAGATCTTGCAATTGCACAAACCGTTGAGCTAAAAAGACCGGGCATACAGATTCTAATTTGCAGCAATTATCGATGGACAAATATTTTAGTTCTGGGACTCTTGAATTCTCCCATGCATCACCACCACCCTCTCCCTCTAGTACATGCATCAATTCACTGCAACCTTCTATTTGAAGGTTCTCTAAGGATAACAAAGTGCATGCGGTAGAGACAGGGAAGAGAGATGTCAACATTGGACAACTGGAAATATTGAGAAACTTGAGATTGCCTAAGTTGCAATCAGCAGGGTATATGTAGAGCAATTGAGGGCAATTGAATATACTTAGCCTTTTCAACTTTTGGAACAAGCTGAAAGGAGAAGGCCCACGATGTAGTTGTTTAAGATTATCCATGTCTCTTAGCACTAACTCATCCAATCTGGGGACAACTGCATCTTCATGAAGAGTAGTTTCATTGGTAATGCATTCTATCTCTGAACACCTTTCAAGATGGAGTTTAGTTAGCTCATTTGTGCCTCCTACAACTTGGGCAATATCAGGCATGAATATTTTGCTGCCTCTCTTAAGCTCATAAAATTTAATAACAGTTGCTCTTTGTGCAAGGTCTTTGATTCTTGCACCTAAAATTGAGATATTTAATTGACCCAAGTGCAAAGATCTTGCGTCTTCTTCATTTTGAGATGCGAAGCCTATGCCATGCTCCCCAATTTCTAACTTATACCTCCTCAATTTCATCAAAGCAGCAGGGTCCGCAAGGTATTGATAGCAATTTGCATTTTTTGAGTGGGGAAAATGTTTGGAAACATACAACTCTTCTAACTCCAAACACCTTCCTATTGCTTCATAACAACATTCATCTATTGTGCAACTCGACAAATCTAACAACTTTAACTTGTTTAATTTTTCAATTCCATTTGGCATTCTTTCAAATTTACTACCTTGCAGGTCAAGAATTTCAAGTCTTGTAAGACTTAACACAAAAGAGATGTCATGTAAATCCCAATACTGCAATCTCAAAGTTTGAAGATTAGACAACCATTGGATTGATTGAGGTTGTAGTTCAACGCTAGCCTCATATTTGCACATAATAATCAAAGCCTTGAGTCCTTTGGTGCCTTCAAATGATGTATGTGATATATCCAAGGGTTTTATTGAGCGTAATAATAGAAACTCAAGCTTCGGAGCATCTAAATGAGAAGGAAATTGAAATAATTCATTGTTGTGATACCATGAAGATACGGCATAACAATCTTTTATCGCTTCATCAGTAATCAATTTGTTTAATTCTTTTGTACAATTCACCATAATGGTGCGATCCTCTTCAGATGCTTTCCACAAAGCAAAGTCACGAACCACATCATGCATTGTCACATATTCTTGTGTATACATGTTGAACTTCCAAAAACGCATCAAGAATGAGGAGTCAATGAGATAATTTATAGTTGCTCTAACTTGACTCCTTGCTGTTTCAAACGAGTCCGCATCTTTGCATAAGCCTAACCCCACTCCATTCCTCAAGAGATCTTCAACAACAATGCCATGATCTTCAGGAAACATGGCACACATTAACAACAACAACTTAGCTTTTGGGGTCGCTAAATAATCATAGCTTAATTCAAGACAAGCAAAAGCGTTCCTAACACCTTTATCCACATTGTTTGGCTTTGCATTCCTCAACCTACACAACGCTACATTCATCTCATCAACTCCTTTTCCTCTCAAGCAAGTTCCCATAGCTACAATGGCTATAGGTAGGCCCTTACATTCCATGGCAATTTCATGAGCCACAACTTCTTTAGCGACATCATCAACCCTAGCATGAGTTTGAAACAAAGTCCAAGCTTCATCTTCTTTTAACAAATGAAGTTGAATCATCTTTTGGCATTCCATCAAGTTACATACCTCTAGACGACGTGTGGTCAGGACAACTTTGCAACTTCTTTGATGATTTCCTCCAGTGAGAATCCCTATATCCTCAAGATCCAACATGGCCCATACATCATCCAGTATTATCAAAATTCGTTCTCCACTTTGCAATCTTAGTGCTATTCTTTTTGCTCTACCTATTTCAAATTCTTCACTTAATTTGAGCCCCAACGTGTCAGCAATTTCGCCTTGAATTTTTCTTACATTTGGGCTTTGAGAAATTGTAGTAAGCACAACTCGATCAAAGATCTGTAACTCTTTGGCTTTCTTTCCCACTTCTTTCACCAGGGTGGTTTTCCCTGACCCTCCCATGCCCCATAGCCCAATTATGGAGCTACCATCATCTCGCAGTGCCTCACACAGCTGATCAAAAGCATTTTGTGTAGAGTTGAAGAGCTTAAAGTTTTGAGGAGAGTGATAATCTATATCTGGAATAATAACAGGATGGGAAAATGAACTGAAGCAGTCACTCTTTGTATTTAGATCAATCATCCTTTGGGCAGTCTTAGCCAACTTTTTGCAGAGACAATATCTCTTCCAAGTAGGGCACCACCCTCGAAGGCAGCCATGGTTAGCCTTTAGTCCTTCCTCTAATTTCTCCACCTCTGCTATGAGGCTTTTCACATCATTCTTCCACTTGTTAACCTCATCATCAATCCTCTCAGTTCTCTTGATAGCCTCTTGAACAAGTTCCTGCACTCTCCCTTGCTTTAGTATTAGCTCCTCCTTCCTAATGTCAACATTTCTGGTGATTTTTCTGACACAAACCAAACATTGCAACTGCTGGAAAGTTGGGTGCACCAAATATTCAGCGAGTTTTGCTGCTACCGACAGTCCCACCTCCGCCATTTAGTATTAATAGCAACCTAAAGGAGAGCCATTCATCATCATCAAATGATTATTTCGAGAAATTGAAGCATCTTTATTATGTACTTACTCTTACATGAAGATATCATCAACATGAAAAGAATGATGTTTTTCCTTAAACAGTAAATTATGGACGATCAATTGTTTTGGTTCGGCTTTCTTGCTCTGATATTGGGTTTTTTTTGGCCCCAGGGATGTTCAGATATTGGAGTAACCAAATTTAGTGTTTTATGTTTCTATTGAGATCGATGCAAAGGTGAAAGAAAGAAGAAAAAATGTAGTCTGCAAATGACAGCGGCAATAATGAGAAACGACTAGGGATAACGGCCAAAAATACTTGCAAGCATATTTTATGCAATTTGACAGAAAATTTTTCTCATATACTTACTTTGCATTTCATAAATGATGATTGCAAAGTTACTTATAAACTATTTTAAATAGGCCCTAACAAAATACTCATGCTTTAAGAATTGAGAGAGGTCACAGATTGACGTTTATATATGGAGAAACAACTAGACAAATAGGGGAGAAACAAGAAAAAAACATGCTAAAAATAAAGTGCGAAAAAATGAGACTCTAATTTAAAATTGAAAGCAATTATTAGAAAAAATAGGTAATCTCTGGAAATTTAAAATTAAAAGACATATGCAAAAAAAAGAAGGACATATTCTAATTTTCGTAGCTGGCATCTCTTCTTTACACGGGTCTTTCTTGAAGGGTAATTATGACCAAAATATTTTAAAATCACGTTTAAACAATTAAACCAAACACAAATATACCTAAACAATTTATTTTAAATCTGAACTTGATATATTGCGGCTGTTTTGTTTATGCTTTTTTTCCCTTAAAAAAAAAAAGAACAAAAGAAAGAACGAGAGTATTTACAAAACCCATTAGCTAAGCTATGTTTGCCACTTTGTCCGGTTAATTGATTTTCCCCCCAGGGTATATACGCCTATTTTTGACAATATAGGAACAAGATTAGAGTTGCTAAAAAGGCCAAGATATGTACCCCAAATTTTGTTATTTTTTCAGACCGAGACTTAACTTTCTTGCTATGAGATCTAAGCATTTTCCAGCTGTTTTTAGATCCTAGAGTAATTAAACTTATTGTCTTGGATTGTACTTTGGGAGAATCAGTATGAGCTAGTAGGGAAGAAATGTAATTACGATAAGTAAGTAGCATGCAATAATCAGTTTCAGCACAAGAAATAACAACATGTCCATGCTGTTTACTTCTCATGTATTTTTTTTTAATTACATTCCTTCCATGAGATCTCATAGTAATTTTACTTTCTCTTGTATTTTCTGTTAGATTTATGCCAAGTTGAAAGGAAAACAAGCAACAAATGTGGTTTGTAATAACAAGTAGAAAACACTGATCAGAAAATGAAAGACTAATAAAGGTGGGGAAAACGAGGGTTTGATGTTCATACCAGATAATCAAGCTTGCAAAATTCAGTTGATGATTCTTGGCTTGCAAATTTTCAAGAGCCAGATGAATAGAAATATATAATTTACCTTATAGTGGGTTTACCAAAGGGATAGAAAGAAGCGATTCACTATGAAGAAGAATTCAATTTGTTGCTGAGTGATTGGTGGCTCAAAAAAGTTCTTATAATGATCCCAAGGGTTGGGTGAAAAATAAGTTCTACAGACATAATTAGTATTATAATCTTGTACTGTGTATTATTCTACTACTCATTAAGGGTCCGATTGGTATGAGGAAAAATGAGAGAAGGAGAGAGAAATTTTTGATAAACTCGATTTAAAAAATAAAAAAGGTGTTGTTAAAAGCTTTCAAGTAGTTTTTATGACTATTTTATATATTATTTTTTCAGTCTTAAATATAAGACCCATTTTATAATATAGTGCAAATTGTATTATAAAATGGGTCTTATATTTAAGACCGAAAGAATACTTCTTTTCTTTATTAAAATTTTAAAACCCCACTTTTTCAACTTTTTAAATAGAGTTCATTAAAATTTTTCCTCACCTCCCCTCCGCTCCCCTTCATTTCCCTTACACTAAACATTACCTAAGAATAAGTAAGTTAAATTACTTTTTAAAATATATATTTTTTCCAAACGATTTACAAAAACTTGATAATTTCACAGTTCGGTTATCTATCTATTACTTTCTTGACTTATTCATCAATCTCACGTAGTATAATAGAGACGTAACATTTTCTAGCCTTCCTTTTTAAGTTCTTAGTTTAAAATAAAGAAGAATAATTTGAATTCAAAAAATTAGATTCCAAATTGGAGATTGGGAACTTACCTAACACTAATGAAATAGAACAATTGCTTATATGGCCGGCCATTATCCCATGTTGGTATGTTATTTTATTATTTAGGTATCATTGAGCTCTGTCCCTTACTTTCATGAAGCAACATATTTGAAGGCTAAAGTTATATTATTAGATATTCTCTCGGATTGATTGGTTAAATAGATTGGATTAATTATACTTGTTTTGGTATGTCTGAAATCAATTAAATGTTACCTCAATTCTTAGAATCTATACAAATTATTTTTGAAATAAATTATGTGATAAAAATTGAAGCTTGGGATGTATTTCAAATTCATGTTAAAGTAGATGATGGCGCTAGAAAAGTAGCCCATGTAATGAACTACCCATTGCAGTTATGACCATGGGGAAGTGTTTAAGAAGAAAAGGACTTGGAAGAGGTGGACATCACGAAAATGTTTGAATTAGCTTTTTGAAAGTAATTCTAGAATGTGTGAAGTAAATATATGAGAAGAGTTTTATTTTAATTTGCATGAAAGTATTTTTTTAAAGTAATTATAATGGTTGCTGTACCCCGGTATAATTTAGAAATTGGGCAGCATAGCATAGGCTTAATATTTCACAGTGAATGCACAAGATCTTTAAATTTGGGTTAGTTAAATACCTCTATGTTAGGTGGATTAATACAGGATCTTGCATAAGGATCTTCCTCTTTTAATTTAGAACACCTCCAACTAGAAAATCTTCAAAATCTAGTTGAATTTTTTTTTTTAGAAAGGTATCATCCAGGGTGCCCATCTACAGAGATAATAAAATGGAGGGATTATCAAAATATGGTATGCATTTGCTCTCCCCCAGACTTTAAGTTGACTCGTAAAAATGATTAAAACTACTAAAGTTTTATTATATAAAACAATATCTTTCCACTGTTTGAATCTCACTCTGTTTATGGTTTAAATAAAAATGCAATTAGCTATAGCAATAATATTTTTTGACCATGACCAATAGCAATAATAAACAACATACATTACAATTTTCATCATTCCCTTGAACCATCCATCTCTCTTCTTATGTAAAATTTGAAGCGATTCATTTGGTATCATTTTTATTTAAATACTTTGCATGGTTTGTTGTCTACACACATGAACAAATAATGCTTTCTCAAGTTTCAATTAAAAATAATTTTTTTTTTATCATTGGTAATTTTAATTTTTGTTTTTATGTCTAAGACTCTGACTCGACTCTCTAGGATTGGGTTTGGCAAATTTGAAGTTAGTCTGCTGATGGGCCTCAATTTGGGCGGAAGTGAGGCCCAAAAGATAAAACTATGCTTTTTTCAATTTTATCTTTATTGAATATGAGAGAAAATGTATAGATTTTTTTTTTGGGAATGCCCTTTATTTTATAAGAGTAAATGTAAAAAATTGTATCAATTTATTGCATTTCTTGGCATGGAAAAATGAGATACAAGTGACTTACCTATAGAATGTAAGTGGCAATAAATGTTTTGATGTGAAGCTGGATATACGCGAATGTAATTATGGAGTTGTAAATTTTAATATAACATTTTTGTGAATGTTTATATATTTTTTATTATCTTCCAGATCTCCTATCAATTTTAATATTTTTTTATTATTTTTATATTTCAATCTGTAGATTCTATCAATGATGTAAAGTTATACTTATAAGTAGAGTTTATATATAATGTATTCAGTATCTCAGATGGACGGAGAAATACTTTTATCTTTTCTTCTATCTAATTCTTTTTTCTAATTCTCTTTTCTTATTCTCTACTCTTTTATAACAAATGCCAATATGACGTTTCCTTAACTTTTTTTAAACAAAATTAGAACACTTTCCTTTTTAGTGGATTTCGCAAACATAGTATTTTACTAATCCAACTCTAATCAATCCACGTTAGACGTCACGAAATCACTGTCTTATCTTCTTATTGGACCATGAAGCAAATATTAAGAAAACAGTAAATGTAATTTTGTTTTGTTTTTTTTTCAAATTTAGGAGCATACATAACTTAGTCTGAAATTTAGGCACATAAATTTAGGCATATAAATTTAATATTTTTTTATCAAATACTCATCAATTATAATCTATCTAATAAAACTAATTTAGATCAAATATAATACATCAAACGTTGTTTTTCTTCTTGGCCAGAAAAAATCAAATGGAGTATGCAAACCAAAAAATGAAAGATCTGGTGATGATCATTATTATCAGCCTTGTCACTCGTCATAATTTAGGAAATGGTCTACAAAATTGATGGTTCCAACTCTAATCTATTTCAAATCTGTACTTGATTGGGGCTGTTTGTTTATGTTTTCCCCCCCTAAAAAAAGATGTTAGGAAAACAAACGAAAAAGAAAGAAAGAGAGGATGATTACGAAACCAATTAGCAATGTAGCATAAGTCGGAATGCCCCGGATTTTGTCATTTTTTCAGACTCGACTCTAAAATTTCCTCCTATGAATCTAAAACTTTTTCCAGCTATTTTTAGACCCCAGTGTAACTAAACTTACTGTTTTTGATTGTATTAATTAATTATAAAAAAGTTTTACAATAATATGTCACTTGTTATGCAATTTTTTTTGTAATTACATTTCTTTCTCGAGATCTCATAATAATTTTCTCTTGTATTTTTTTTCAGACTTGTGCCAACTTGAAAGGAAAACAAGCAACGAATGTAGCTTGTAATAACAAGTAGAAAACATTGATCAGAAAATGAAAGACTAAAGGTGGGGAAAAACCAGGGTTTGATGTTCATACCAGATAATTAAGCTTGCAAAATTATTCAGTTGACGATTCTTGGCTTGCAAATTTTGAAGAGACAGAGATCAGCGGAATTCAACTTACAATGGATTTACATCAAAGGGATAGAAAGAAGCGTTTCACTGTCACGAAGAATTCAACTTGTTGCTGAGTGATTGGTGGCGCAAAAGTTCTCATGATGCTCCCAAGGGTTGGGTGAAAAATGAGTTCTATTCACATAATTAGTATTATAATCTTGATGTACTGTGTATTATTATTTTACTGGAATAAATAAATTAACTTACTCCTTAAAAATATATATTTGTGTAAACGATTTGCAAAAAGATGACAATTTCACAGTTCAGGTATCTATCTATTACTATTCATTTCTTGACTTCGTCAATCTCACTTAGAATAATGGATATATAAAAGTTTTTATTAGGAAATTAGTTCAATACTCATCACAGTGATGAGTGTCATGATGTTCATCAAATCTCAACCATTTAGATTTAATATGAACGGTCGAGATATAATATTTAATTTTTTAAAAATATTTTTCTTTAATGGCTACATGATTTAAAATAAATATAATCTCTTAATTGTAAGTTTTTTAAAAAAGAATTTTTATTTAAAAGTCACTAGAAAATCTTAAATCTTAAATTTAAACCATTAAGGGTTTGTTTGGTATAAAGAAAATGGAGGAAAGGGGAGAAGAAGAAAAAATTTTATGAACTCGATTCAAAAAATTGAAAAAGTGGAATTAGAAGCTTTTTATTAATTTTATTGCTCTTTTATCTTACAACTTTTTTCTATTAAAATTTTAAAACCCCTCTTTTTTAATTTTTAAAATTGAGTTTATTAAAAGAATTTCTTCCCCTCTTCTCTCCTCTAATTCCCTTATACCAAACATAGAGTAAAAGTGTATTTGGATGATTTAGATTTCACAGTAACGATGAGTATCATGGTGTCTATCAGTGTAATGAGCACTGAAACTGTTCCTAGTTTTTATTCTTCTTTATTAAGTTTTTAAAATTAGATTCCAAATTGGAGATCGGAAACTTACCCAAATAGAATAATTATTTATATGGCCGGCCATTATCCCATGTTGGTATGTTATTTTTTAATTTAGGTATCATTGAGCTTTGTCCCTTACTTTTATGAAGCAACACATTTGAGGGCTAAAATTATTAGATATCCTCTCTTGGATTGATTGGGGGGCATCTAAGACAAATTAATGTTAAACCGATTGGATTAATTATACTTGTTTTTGTCTGGAATCAGTTAAATGTTACCTGAATTCTTATAATTTATACAAATTCTTTTTGAAATAAATTATGTAATAAAAAGTGAAGCTTGGGATCTATTTCAAATTCATGTCAAAGTAGATGATGAACTACCCATTGCAGTTGTGACTATGGGGAAGTGTTTAAGAAAAGGACTTGAAGAGGAAGAAAAGGATTTGAAGAGATGGACGACGGCACAGTGTATGTATTGGCTTTTTAAAAATAATTTTACATAATATGAGGTAAATATGGGAGAAGAATTTTATCTCAAATTACATAAAAATATATTTTCTCGATGACTATAAAGGTTGCCAAACTCCCCATTTAGAAATTGAGCAGCACAGCACAGGCTTGGGATTTCAGAATGAATACACAATATCTTTAAATTTGGATTAGTTAGATGTCTCAACGTTAGGTGGATTAATACAGTATCTTGTATAAATATCTTTCTCAAAAATCTTCAAAATCTAGTTGAAATTTTCTCAGAAAGGTGTCATCCATTCCGGGGTGCTTATCATAGAGATAATAAAATAGAGGGATTGTTAAAATATGGTATGCATTTGCTCTCCCGAACTTCAATTTGATTCGTAAAAATGATTTAAAAATCGTTATAATATGAAAAAAAAATTTGTTCGCGTGATTAAATTTTTTTAGCATGAGTTGAACAGCAAATAGTGTTCATGTGAATGTGAGCACGCATTGAGAGATGATGCCGTGAATTATGGACCTCAGTTATTTTAATGATGGACCTCATTTTGGGCTGAAGAAAGGCCCAAAAGATAAAAGTAAGACCCAAAAAGCCCATAAAATGGTTGTTGGCAGGGCTGAGTTGGATGCTATGAGGTGCCCAAGTCCAAAGACCCAGTGGGTTCCTATTTCCCCGAGGGTGAGACGCAAGACGCTGACAGCTTATGTGCTCCTTTGGGTTGGTAATTATAAGTACGTTTTATGAAAGTCAAAATAAAATTTTACTTATATATTTATTTTATATTTTGTAAATTATGATTAAAAAGTTACTTATAAGTTATTTCAAACGAGTCCTATATTTGCTCTTGGAGTTCATTTTTTTGATAAAAACATTTAACCAAATTATGCCAATTAATTAAAATGTTAGTTAAAATTTGTTAGAAATCATAAATATATGGAAGGAAAAATAAAAAAAGATCTTAAAAATTTTAAAAATTACAAATAAGGACTCGTTTCAATATTAGTATTGGTTTTGAGAATAATTGATAAGCAAATGATAATAATTTTTATGAACAAGTCCATGTACACAATTTTTTAATTTTTAGGGTAAATTTTTTTGCAATTGCTGCTATATAAAAGGTGTAATTTTTTTAAAAAAGATATTCTTATTTATGAGAAGAGAAAGGATAATTCTTAAAATAGAGAGGATTGTGGAAGAGAGAATTTACAGTGGATAGAGAGTATAAGTGAAAAAGGGAATAATGCTTGGAAAGTTGTGTGATACTAAATGTATTGAAATTAATGCGGACAAAATGAAAAAACTAACAAAGAAAATTTGAGACATCTTCAAATGCATCTTATAAATAAGAATAAGTGATATACGGTAATTGTTTCTTAATTATAAAAAGCAAGTAGAGACATGGTGTCCCCAAACGCGTAAAAACACAGTTAAGTGGAATGCATGATTTCTTTAACTTTTTCACTTTTGATTTCATGTTTTGGGGTCCGTTAGAATTGGAGGAAGAAAGCAAAAAGAAAGAGCCCTGTGTAACTTCCAAGTTCCTACCTAGTGGACGACTCATGCTCATGAGAAGTCTGGTCATTTTGAAAGATAATATATCTGGTATGAAAGTGAGAATCTCTTTTTCTTTGCCTCTTTAGTCTTCCGTGTTTTGATCATTGTTTTCTATTTGCTATACTTACATAAGAAGAAAGAACATCACCATTTCCAACTGATTTAACGACTCGACCTCATGAAAATGTCTGTGGATTTAAGTGCAATTCCGTTCATCTCCCTCTTGCAAACTTGCAAGCCAAGAATCAAGCTTATCTGGTATGAACATCAAAACCTCTTTTTCTTTTGCTTCTTTAGTCTTTCATTGTCTGATCAGTGTTTTCTACTCTCAAAGTATGAGTTGCTTTAAGAATTATCATTATAATATATGAAGCCATCATGAAGAATAATTGAGTCATTTAAATTATCATCAAGAAAGTTATAATAATGATTTATATTGCTGATTTGATTGAGCTGTAATTCTCCATTTTATCTTTTGTCAATGTGTTATTATTTTATAAGCCCTAATCAACCATAAATAAAATAGCAGCCTGGTTTTTCAAAAAAAGAAGTAACGAATTGCGTTTGTTCAAGGCAGAAATTAAATGCTACCTCCGCTCTTTAATATAAGACATCGTTTGACTTTTATTTTGGTCCTAAATATAAAATCCCAATCCACTTAGTCTCTCATATTTATTTATTTTTTCTCAAGATAGTCTTTTTAATAATGATAGTTCTAACCAATAAACTTGATTAGCAAGGATATTTTAGGAAAGATAACACCTATTTATTACAAATAACTAACTTGTTTCCTTAATCTACTCTGATTAGTCAACTAGCTCTTATATTTAGGACCGGAGGTAGTATTAGTAATGAAATAAGGCAACTTCTATTGATTCGTTCTTTATTTAATTTATTTGCAACCTTCACTAGTGCCAACATTTAATCCAAATTGCTTGTTTGTTCCTGCAAATGTCTCAAGAAAAGTAAAAATCATAAGATTGCTTGTTTACTTTAACTTTTAAATTTGGTCCAAAGGCACCTTCGCTAAAAAGCAAGTCATAGAGTCATGGCCATGGGGTCCCTAAACATATAATGGCAATTAACTGGAAATATAATTTCTTTAACTTTTTCAATTTTAAATTCATATTTTGGGGTCCATTAGAATAGAAAATTTATCTAATCAAAGTCTTAACTCTTAAGTTTAAGTCTATTTTTCTCTTAATTTTTTAGAGTAAAAAAAAAAAAAGGAAAAAGAAAGAGCGCTCTTATTTCCAACCGAGTTGACGACTTAAACTCATGAAAATTTTGGTGATTGCAGTGGAATTCTGTTCATCTTGCTCTTGAAAATTTGCAAGCCAAGAATCATCAACTCAATTATCTGGTATGAAAATGAAAACCCTGTTTTCCCACCTTTAGTCTTTCATTTTCTGGTCAGTGTTTTCTATTTGCTATAACAACATAAGGGTCCATCTGTGATCAAACTCGTAATTCTCAAAGTATGAGTAGCTTATTAGTTGTGTCATCAATTGGACCTATCACTTACAGACCACATTTGTTACTTTTTTTTTTCCCCCTTTCAACTTCACACTGATCTGATGGAAAATACAATAAAAACAGTAGATTCAGCCACTCTAGTATCTAAAAGTTCCCGGAAAAAAATTTACATCTCATACAAAGAAAGTTAGAACAATTGATCTTCCTTATTTATCATATTCTACATCATGAAATTTACCTTCCAGGTTGCTATTATCTAGTTGAATGGATGAAGTGGGTATATCAATAGCAGCAAAACTTGCTGAATATTTGGTGGATCCTACTTTGCGCCAATTGCAATATTTGTTTTGTGGCGGAAAAATCACCAGAAATGTTGAGACCAAAAAGGAGGAATTGATACTGAAGCAAGGGAGGGTGCAAGAACGTGTTGAAGAAGCCATTAAGAGGACTGAGAGAATCGATGATGAGGTTAACAAGTGGAAGAATGAGGTGGTGAGGCTCATAGCAGATGTGGAGAACTTGGTGCAAGAACTTAAGGCCAACAATGGCTGCTTTCAAAGGTGGTGTCTTATTGGGAGGAGATATCATCTCTGCAAAGCGTTGGCAAAGACAGCCCAGCAGATGACAGAGCTAAATACAAAGAGTGATCAATTCGAACCATTTTCCCATCATGTTGTTGTTCCAGATATAGAGTATCACTCTTCTAAAGATTTTATGTTTTTCAAGTCAACAGAAATGGCACATGATCAACTATGGGAGGCACTGCAAGATGATGATAGCTCTATAATTGGGTTGTGGGGTATGGGCGGTTCGGGCAAAACCACATTGATAAAGGAAGTAGGAAAGAAAGCCAAAGAATCAGGGCTATTTGATCGAGTTATAATCACAACAGTTTCCCAAACTCCAAATATTAGGAAGATTCAGGGTGAACTTGCAGACTTGATGGGACTTGAGTTGAAGGAAGAAACTGAAGTGGGAAGGGCGAGAAGAATTGCAATGAAATTACAAAGTCGAGACGAGCGAATTCTGATTATATTGGATGATGTATGGGCTACATTGAACCTTGAGGATATTGGGAATCCCTTTGGGGATGACGGTCCAGGAAATTGCAAAGTTGTCCTGATCACACGTCGTCAAGAGGTATGTACTTTGATGGATTGCCAAAAAATTATTCCATTAGGTCTGCTAACAGAAGATGAAGCTTGGGATCTATTTCAAACTCATGCTAAAGTAGATGGTAGTGCTAGAGAAGTGGCTAAAGCAGTTGCTGTGGAATGTAAAGGACTACCCATTGCAATTGTGGCCATGGCAAAGTGCTTAAAAGGAAAAGGACTTGATGAGGCAAATGTAGTATTGCACAGGTTGAGACATTCAAAGCCAGTTGATGTGGATAAGGGAGGGAGTGATGCTTTTACTTGTCTCAAGTTAAGCTATGATTATTTGAGAACTGTAGAAGCCAAATTGTTGTTCTTGATGTGTGCCATGTTTCCTGAAGATCATGAAATTATCATTGAAGATCTTTTTAGATATGGAGTTGGGTTGGGCCTATGTGAAGATGCTGACTCATTTGAAATAGCAAGGAGTCAAGTTATAACAGCTATAAATGTTCTTATTGACTCTTCATTATTGATGTTTTTTGTCAACTTCAAGAATGGAAAATGTGTGAAAATGCATGACATGGTTCGTGATGTAGCTTTATGGATAGCATCTAAAGAGCATGGCACCATTATGGTAAATTGTGCAAGACAATTTAATGAATTTCTTGAAGATGAAGTAGTAAAAGATTGCTATGCAGTATCTTCATGGAATGAAAATACTAAGTTGCTTCAATTCCCTTCTCAATTCGACGCTCCAAAGCTTGAGGTTCTATTGTTAAATTCAAGCGACCCCCTAGATTTAACACTTGCATCATTTGAAGGTGTTAAAGGATTAAAAGTTGTAGCTGTAATTAACAATGGATATGGCTGTCAGACAAAATTAGTACCTCAGTCAATACAATGGTTGTCCAATCTTCGGACTTTGCGCTTGCAAGGTTGGCATTTAGGTGATATTTCTTTTGTGGTGAGCCTTAAAAGACTTGAGATTCTTGACTTGAAAGGCAGCAAGTTAAAAACAGTGCCAAATGGAATTGAGAAACTAAATTTTATGAAATTGCTCGATTTGTCACAGTGTACGGTAGAAGAGTGTTTTTGTAAAGTAATAGGAAGGTGTTTGCAGCTAGAAGAATTGTATGTTTCTAGAGATTTACAGCCTTCAGGATACACAATTTGTTATGCATGCTTTGTGGGTGTCCCTACTTATCCAAAACTGAGAAGGTATTCATTAGAAATGGGGCAATACGGTAGACCTGTGTTCTGGAATAAAGGCTTAAGAGAGTTACTCTTGGGAGAGTTAAATATCTCCATTTCAAGTGCAATAATCAAGGATCTTGCACAAAGAGCAACCACAATTGAATTTTATAAGCTTCAAGGAGGCTGCAAAAGTTTCAGTCCAGATGTGGTTCAAGCAGTAGGAGGCTTGAATGAGTTAACCAAACTCTGTCTTCGACGCTGTTCTGAGATTGAATGCTTTACTGATCAAACTATTCCTCATGAAGACATACTTGTCCTTAGATTGGTTGAGTTGGTGTTGGAGTATATGGATAATCTAAAACAACTATGTCACAGTCCTTCTAATCTTACCTTATTCCTAAATCTAGAAAGTCTATATGTAGAAAGTTGCCGTCAATTGGTCAACATGTTTCCTGCTAATTGCAACTTAGGCAACCTTAAGTTCCTCAACATTGTCAACTGTCCGATGTTGACATCTCTCTTCTCCATCTCTGTTGCTTGCACTCTGTTATGTCTAGAAAAACTCACAATAAAGGGATGTCATGAATTGAAGCACATAATTGAGGGGGAGGATGGTGCTGATATATGGGAGGATCCGAGATTCTCAAAATGGGAAATTCTATCTGTTTGTGATTGTAAACAATTAGAATCTATTTGCCCAAGCTTTTGTGTTCAAGGGTTTGTGCAATTGAAATCTGTATTCATAAGAGATGCTCCTCAGTTGAAATTTGTGTTTGGCAAAAATGGTGAAGAAACATCATTATGTGATGGAAATGAGACTAAGATGGTGCTTCCACTTTTAGAAGAACTTGAATTGAAATTCCTCCCAAATCTTCTCAGATTTTGCTCAGAAAGCTATCATCTATTGTGGCCATCTATAAAGAAAGTAAAATGGACGGGCTGTCCAAGATTGAATACTTCATGTGATTCTCTCATTATTGATTCAGAACTAAGGCAATCAGGTCCAAATATGGTATGCATTTACTTTTTGATGCTTTGATTTGATTTGATTTGATTTGCATAATATGTTAAAGAATATAAAGAATTTGTAGTTTTCTAAATATCTTAGTTCATGGAATATTTTTCTTGAGACATGCATGAAATTGCAAGTAGGGTGCTTGCAATTACTTATCAAGAGATCCCTTACTTTATTAATACATCTTTACATGCTTTAATTTTTTTTAAATGAATTCGAAAATGAACAATCAAGGAAGTGACGTAAAAATTTTCCTTCTTGAATGAGTTCCTAGTAAAGAAGCCATCGGATATAACAGCAACTATATAGCACTGCACACATATAGACACACACAAGGTAATTTCCATCAGTTCTCAAACTATCAATACTCTTTTTAAAATAAAACTCGCAGCACATGCATTAATTAATCATAGTCTACCCACTTTCTTATATGTTCATGTAGTTGTTTTTCATTTGTTTAATTGACCCAAATTTAAATTGATAGACTGAGTCAATACAATAATACATGCACGTAATGCCTTTTAGTGAACCTTACTTTGTCATACTTTTGTAATTTGTTTTCTATGCCTTTAGGTTTGAATGAAATATGTTAATAATTTTCTTTTTCTTCTCTTTCCTTTCTTTTCCTTCCACACAGGAATCTCATGCCTATAATGACCATCAACTGAGAGATGGAGAATCCAGGCTAGTAGCAGCTGTTTCAAATGTTGAAAGCATTGTCCTTTTCAATTGTGGGGTGGTATCCACATTCATCCCAAAACTTCCAATATTCCAATGCCTTAAACAATTGTCCGTGGGAGGATGTGGAAATCTGAAATTTGTTTTCTCAGCTAGTATCTGTCAAAGCCTTCCAGAGTTAACTTCTATAACCATATCTTGCTGTGAGGAGATGGAAGAAGTTTTTTTGGGAAATGAAGATACTCAGGAGAATCTATCCATATTTCAATTTTGTTTGCCAAATTTACAGAGTCTGGAAATCAAACAGTGCAACAAGTTGAAAAGGATTTTTTCCTTTATGATTAGTGATGATGCTATCCTAAAGTTTCCAAAACTAAGAATTCTAAGCATATCAAAAGCTTCACAATTGGAAGAAATTTTCAGATGCTCAAATATTGAAGACCGTGTTATTGACAGTGAAAATGAAATCATGTTCCCAAACTTGGGATTGATAACACTTGAGGAGTTGCCCCGACTTGCTAATTTCTGCCAAGGGTTCAAGTTTCAAATATCTATGTATTGCAGTGTGTTGGTATATGAATGCCCAAAACTGGTTCCAAATGTTGGGTCGAGTGCCAAGTGGAGTATAGAGGTAAGTAATATTCTTGACTTTTTTTGTATATCAGTGCTTCCTTCTATATTGCAAATCCCATCTGTTTTTTATTTTCTAATATTTACTTGATGCGAGGTCAATATTTCATGCTTCTCATTAAAAAACGGGTACAAATGTTATCCGGAATAACTTCAAAGCTCATCTAATTTGTGAAATATTTGATGATTTGACCTCTTTTTTTTGCCCCCCCCCCTTTCCGCAACTTTCCCGTGAGCTGAAACTACTTTTTCCCCCCTTCTTTCTCTTCTCAATCATACAGAGATTTGTTAGGAAGCATGTGCTGAAATGCAGCCAATTAGACAATAATGAAGGTCTCTCTCCGCCACTTCTTATTCTAAATTCGGAAGAACTCGATGATTTAAGTTTTGAAGTGCAAGACTGGTGTAGGGTCATTGGTGACAAGGACTCAGAGATGGCCAGTTTTTATCAAACATTTAAAGGTCTTACTCCGACGCAAGGTTTGAGTTTCCCATTTCTTCGTTCTTTGGAAGTGGTGCGGTGTGGAAAGTTGAAGTTTTTATTCTCTGCAAGCACCATTGTCCATAACAGCCTTCCCAAATTGAAATTCCTAACCTTATCTGATTGTGAAGAATTGGAGGAAATAATTGCAGACAATGGGGAGCCTCAGAACACATCTAATGCTCAAGTTTGCTTTCCAGAACTAGGAGAGTTGGAGATTCAAAGGTGTAACAAGCTCAAAAGATTCTTTCCTACAACCATAAACACCGTTCTTCCACAGCTTTATTCTTTGTTGATAACTGAGGCTAGTCAATTAGAGGTGATATTTGGACATGAAAGGGAAGATGATGCTAACAATGGAGAGAAAATTGTGCTTCCAAACTTGAGAAAAATAAAGCTCAGAAATTTGCCAAATTTTGTCAATGTTTGTCAAGGATTGCAGTTTGAAGCAGTGCAGCTCGGCAGCATCAACATATGCAAATGCCCCATGCTTCTTAATCCAATTTTTGGATCAACTCAAATGGTTTCATTTCAACAATGGAAATCAATGGTATTTATCAATATTCTCCCAACGATTTTTAGTATATCTTCTAAATGACAACAAATTACATGTGGATTAAGATTTTTGGGGGGGGGGTGGGGAGAGAAGAAAAGAAAAATACTTCATGCACATAAAATTCAATAGATTTTTCTCTAATTTTGAAGCACATTAAAAGATGAAAAGGCGAATATATATGTGCACCTTGATTTCATGTCTTGTTAGTACTTATTACAGGCATTGCTTATAAAATTTTCATGTACAGCCATATCAAAGTTCTGACGGGGAAATTATGGTTATGTACATTGTTACTCTAAATATTCTAATACTTTGAAGCATATTTTGACGTTTGCCTGGTATGCTTGCACGTCTATTTGCTATGTTTTATTGTTATTGCTGCTGTCGTCTTTTTGAGACCGAGTTCAACCAAAAATTCTGAACTGTAACATAGATGAATAGTGGTGTTTCTGATTGAAATTTCATTATCCACAGGATTCTAGAGGAGTTCAAGATTTCCCAACTGAGGCAAGTGTAGAAAAGGAATTTCATGCTAGTGAAGAAAAAGGGACGATCATGATCTCGAAAGTACATTATTTGGCTTTGAGGCATTCAGCTAACCTCATAACTTCTTTATGGGGGGGTCCCGCTTTAATCAGCTTCCAAAATCTTTTCCAGTTAAATGTGTTCGGATGCAGAAAATTAAAGTCTATCTTCCCTTGCACTGTGATCAAAAGCCTCCCATGTTTATGGCATCTGTCCATTATAGAATGTGAAGAGTTGGAGGAAATCATATCAGAAAAAAGGGAACAAGAGTATGATCACTCTCCAAATTCTTCCTTGTGCTTTGCAAAACTTTGCAGGCTTGAAGTCTATAGATGCAGCAAGTTGAAATGTCTCTTCTCTCTGCCCTCTAATGGTGATCTTGCAAAGTTGGAAGATCTGAAAATAAAAGGGTGCTCTCAACTAGAGCAAGTTTTTAGCTGTGAACTTGAAATCCATGAGGAAGAGTCCAACAAGAACCTGCTTCCAAATCTCAAATATCTTCTACTTGAAGACTTGCCCAAACTCACTCAGATTTGTGCAAGTTTTCCTTCTCTGTTAAAGTTGTTGCCAATGAGGATTTTGGAAGTTAAAGATTGCCCTATGCTCCAAAACAGAGGTACGCACATACAAATGCTTTAGACATACGTGCTTGCACTTAACAAAAATAATTCTTCCTAATTTTCCCTTTTCTTTCTAGTTTAATGTTCTTCTTAATTAGTGTACAACTTTGAAGCACTGGAATCTTAAAGAACATAGCTTTGTCATGTTCAAAAGTTGGTTCAACGGAACATTTCAAGTTGCGGAACCTTCATATTTTGCTTTGTCCTTGAGCTTGCATTGTTTATTTATTTATTTATTTATTTTTCACGTTTTTAAATTCCCTTTGGACAATGGACAAGATGCATTTTATTACTTTATCATATTTTTCCTTGCATTAGCTGCAAATTGGATTATAAATTCTGCAGATAATGTTGAAGAAAGTGAAGACTATGATTCAGAGGATTTTGATGACGACGACGACTTCATAGTATTTGAGACCACACAGCAATTTCTCCAATTGAGTGCTCCTCAACCTCCCGTTTCCATGGTTCTTGGTGAGGGCATACATCCCTCTGAATTCAAAAGGTAATTATTCGGAAATATTACATACATGTTAATACAATATCCTACAATTAATATAACATTTTTGCCCCATAATATTCCCGAAGCAGCTATGAATACTTACCAAAACATTTGTGGAACACTGTGAGTTTGTGACACATATTTCTTCAAAATTTGTGCAATTTTACTCCTTTTTAACAGTCAACAAACATTAAGCTACATGTACTCTATAACCCTCTTTATAAAATTGTATGTATAACAAGGGATAAAGAATTATTAAGGGATTGACTTGAAAGTATAATAAAACTAAAATAATTAAACAATGAATTTTTCAAATAACCCTTTTCTTTGAGGCTTTTGTTTGGTCCTTTGACAAACGAATATCTTCACCAACAGATATGATCGATTGTGTCGATGGATGTATTGAGAAGAAGAAAAATTCTAGAAGCTACCGCGACCTTACCGGAGCTCGTCCTCTAACGGTGGCAGCGTCTACGTCGTCCTCACCTTACTCAGATGTTCAGTCCTTGGCCATAGCTCTTGCTCTTTGCTTTTTCTCTCAACCTGTGGGACAAGTTTGAAATTGTATGGCTGTATGTGTTACTCTCATGGGGGATGTTTTTGCCAATTGATTCATGTACTTTGATACCTCTGCCTCATTTTACTTTCCTGTATAAATGTTTGCATCTTTCAAGAACGTTTTAATCAACTGAGAACCTTCACTTTCCATTTTACACTTTTGCCCCACCCACATATATGACATTATAAGCACATGTATGTGTTAGAGATTATGAAATCATGTT